TAAGAACTTCAAACATAAACAATAGCCCCATCATTTAAATAAAACAACAATATTGTATAAAGCAAACGTAAGACAATAATGTTTCCTGAATCTCTTAATAAATAGAAATTAAAAATAAAGAACATGACGTAATTAAACTTTTAACCATTTCAATATGTATATTGAGAAAAGTTGCTTTAACTTTCGTTATGCTTTACCATTACGCAACAAAAACTCATAACAAGGCCTGACATTGATATGTAACTATTAATGTATATAACATAGATATATAACTATTATTACCTTCACTTTCTTGATGCAACAGTTGCAATTGCCTTTCTTCAGCTAATTTTCTTTGCAACATTATTTTCTTTTTTTCTTCCAGCTTTTTTCTCTCTTTTATTTGTAAATAACGAGCAAACTCCTATGGTAGTAACCATTGATTACAAATAATAAAAAATATAACAATAACTCTAGTTACCAATTTAATGAAAAGTCACAGTTAAGCTTTAAAAAATTTTATAAAAAACTTCAATAAAAATACAATAACTGAAAAAAATTAGACCAAATATTAATGTAGCAAAGAGGAAGTATTAATATAGCAATAAGGAAGTTGTAATATAGCAAAGATATAAAGCATGGAACCGACAAAAAAAAACTGTCTGCACTGCAAGTTATTAAAAAATGATAGATAATTAGATAAAACATAGTAGAACTATTTTAAACTTTTCAAAACTTTCTAGAACTTTTGCAATATTTTTAACTTTCAGTAAAAAACAAAATCAGAAATACAAATTTTCATGATAACAATATTACTTGGAAATCAAATAATTTAAACAACGTTTGGCATTAAACACAAAACATGATATGGTGTTAAAAAAACATGAAATGGTGTCAAAAAAAACATGAGACGGCGTTTAAAAAACATATGGTGTTAAAAAACATATTACGGTATCAAATAAAATATGATATGGTGTCAAAAAAAACATGATATAGTGTAAAAAAAAAAAGTGATATGGTGATACAGTCAGGGCTGTGGAGTCGGAGTTGCAACATTTTTAGCGGAGTCGCTAAACAAAATCGTGACTCCGACTCCAATAATAAAACTTCTCGTTATTGCATGTGCATGTTTAAAACATTCAATTAACCTTATACTTATATTAAAACTCAAAGTATGTTTCATAAATTTGTCAAAAAACTTTTTTTAACTTGTCGCATAATATTTTTTAAAAAACTCAAAGAATTTTTCAAATATTTTGCTTTGGAGTTAAACACAACAAGTTTGTTTACTGATCTTATTACCTCTCCCAAAGACTAGGCTGAACTACTTGCAAAGGACTTTTCTTCAAATTTGATACTTGAATCTTATGGCTGTACTCTTCCTTCCATTCCAGTTAAACAGATTAACCCATTGTTAGACATTCAAACCGCTTCAGCTTCCAAAGTGTTTTTCAGAACTCTCTTTAATTCTCTCTAAACTATTTAACAAGTGCTTGACTGAATCTTGTTTTCCTACCAGCTAGAAAATGGCATCTTTGGTTCCAATTTTAAAAACCTCCGGAGAATATTCTGATCCCTCTAACTATTGTCTGACTAAAATTTTGTTTGTAATTAACAAGGTCTTTGAGTCCTTGATCAACAAATTTCTAACATGCTATCTTGAGTCAAATAACTTACTGTCAGACAATCAATACAGTTTCTTATCTTTTTGTTCTATAGCTGACTTTGCTAACTGCTGTGACTGAAAGAATTCATCGTGCATTAAATAGAGGCGGCAAGGCAAGAGCTAATGTTCTTGACATATTTAAAACTTTTGATAAAGTTTGGCATGCTGGTCTTCTCCATAAGCTTGCTTCATATGGTGTACTTCGGAAAGTTTTTAAAATCATCAAATCATTTCACTCTAACCGCTTTATTAAAGTTATTCTTGAAGGATAAAACTTCTTCTGTATTTCCAGTAACTTTTAGGTTACTTCAAGGTTCTATACTTGGCTTTATTTGTATAAACGATTTTATTTACTAATGTCTAAACTCACTGTAGACCAGAGAGCATATCAGGTTTGATGGAGTGGTACCTGGTTACCTGGGATTTTTTCACTGGTAAATTATTGCTATCATTATAGTAACATGATTTAATTAAAATTTGTTTTACTTGCTAAGGCAGTTAAATTGTCAAGTCAATTTTCAAATAAAATGTGCAAATGAGTAAGTAAAATTAAATTGCATTCTAAATTTTATGTAGAAGAAATCTCTAATTTGCCAGATAATCATTTCAACTAAATTTTAAACTTGCTTAAAAAAGTTGCTGTTGCAAATTTACTATACTAGACAAATTGAAATATTTCAATAAAATAAAACATCAGAGCACTTCTCCGTTAATGAAAATTGTCTGAATGTTAACTGGATGTTACTTTTTGCCTATAAATCAATATTCATTAAATAAAAATACCAAATATATGTCTGGAAAAAATTTTTTTTTGTAATTTGGTTTGCACAGTGTGTTTATTTAAAAAAGAATATAGAGAATCAAGGGCAGTTCAAGTTAAGGTATTTTATACCCTGATACTTTATTTAATAATAATACTTTAGTAAATTATAAATAATAAAGGACCACCCATAATATAGTATTATAGTACATCCACAAAAAATTTTAAACCTTTTTACATTAAAATAGTATACATTAAAATAGTATACATAAAAATAGTATACATTTGAACACAAAGTCTTTATTGTTAAATGTATAATATTTTAATGTTATAAAAAATTTAAACTTTTTTACATAACATTAAAAAATTATGCATTTAAAAATTATTATAGACTATATGGGTGGTCCTTTATTCCTGTTTATGTAATTGGTAGCAGTAAATACAACAAATGATTGAATATAATACATATTTAGATATAACATAATTAAAACAAATTATTTCAAACCTCTTTGCAGAATAATTTGTTAAGTTGTAGAAGAAATTTGTAGTCGGATATGTTTGATTATAGTCTGAAATGCTTTAGATTGATTGGACCAACAAAAATCTTCAGATCCATGTTTGGATATTAGTATTCCAACATTTACTGAACTAAAATTATCTGAAAATGTATGCAGTATTTGTTTTTTTTTTTTTGTTACTGGAGGAGGCATTTCTTATCAGAGTGCTCAAGCTACTGCTGTAGACAACTTGTTCACTTTTACAATAAGGAGAACATGCCAAATTAATAACCAGTGCTATAATTAAAAAAAAAGCTGGAGAACAAATGTATAAAAAAAGAGACATGAGAAACACATATCTCTATTTATGTTGATGCTCCTAATTTAAACCATAACAGAAGTAGAAAATAATTTTTTCTTCAAACAGTCATGAAACTGCCTCCATTGAACTTTTTGACAATACAAAAAAAAAAAAAAAAACTTTGTTCTGCAATTAAAACAGGATTAAATGGAAGAGACTCTGTGGAAGAAAAGTTCAAAAACTAGATAACCTTAAAGTACAATTAGATCGATTTTATAGTATTGAGTAAGTTGAATTTGTTTCTTACCGGAATAAAGCTATCATAAGAGATTTAATATATGTTAAAAATCCCTCTGATTTAATCTTGCATATTATTAAAGAAAGTGGTATAAATCCATGTGTAGATTTGTAAGAGTTTCTGTATATGGTATAAGAGGATTCCTAAAAAATGTTTCTTTTGAAGAAGAAAAAGAATTTAAAAATAAATTTAAAAATAGCAGAATTCAGTAAGTTCTTATTAAAACCATTGTTGAAAATATTCCTAAAAAATATGAAAACCTTAGATAAATGCAGTTGTTCCCAACCTTTTCTTACCATTCCACAAATTATATATAAAAAATCTTTGATATATATTTTAGATCCCTTTGCTTTCAATAATTATTACAAGTTACAAATTTTAATAATGTAATCTTTATTAATCAGAATAATATTTTGTTTAAGGTATTTTTGATTAGACTGTTTAGTTACAGTTTATTTAAAAATATGCCAGTCTATTAATGACACAAAAGTATTTTATCTTAGTCAATATATGATACAAAAGCAGGTCAATGGAAAATCTGGCACTGCTTACTAGCAACTAATATCTGAAAATTCGGTTTAGTTTTTGATAGAGCACATCTAACATCTGGATTGATATTGAGTCTATTTCTTTTTTTAGTTTTAAGAGATAGCATAGCTGAAAACTCTGTTTCACGCAAATGAAATGTTGAAAAGGGAATAAGGGCTTTAAGTGAAATTCATGAACACAATGGATATGAGCTCCTCATTCTTAACCAGAAGTTATCTAATGGCGGTATTTTGAAGCCTCTTGATGAGCCGTTGTTATTTCAAAAATGTCAAATTTAATATATTCTACCAGTCCACTTCACTTCTAAGCTTGAAAATTCTTTCCAAAAAATTTCTAGCAGATAGCCATCACACTGAAACAATAACTTATTGTGTATAGCATCTATTTCAGAGCAAAATTTTGTAAAAAGTTGATTGTTAAGAGCAGAAAATTTTTACATGGCCAACTTGACTAATTGATTAAATACAGCTTTCAAACTACCTGGCAGTGTTTTGATTGCCAAAGCCTGTCTATGAATAAAACAGTGTATACCAACTACATTTGGAGCAATCTCTTTCACACTGGTCTGCAATCCATACTTACAACCCATTATGGTAGAAGCAACATCATTAGTAATTCCAAACAAATATTTTCATTGTAACTGTTTGTCATTGAAAAACTGTTTAAAAATTTCCATAATATCATGCTGCATAATATCATAACAAGTTGTTTCAAGGATAGAAGAAACATAAATCTTAATTGAACTTGTTATTGCAAATATACCTACAAAATACAATTAATTGCGCCATTGAATATCTGTGGACTCATCCAACTGAATAGAAAAATATAGGGCGATTTTTTAGTTTCAAAATTTTGTAGTTTTGTGATCCACCTAAAAAGTTCTCATGAACCCCCAGGGGTCCATGGACCACTGGATTAGTGCGTGAGAAACGTAATTTTTAACTAACTTAGATTTAAATAATTATTTTGCTTTTGATCTTAAATGTGCTAATGTATTATTTGGTCTTTCACTATATGCAGGGAAAAAAGCTTGCTTGTGGTGTAGTGGCGAATATACACTTGATATAGGAACTCTTAGAACTATTGGCAATCTTGATTCCCTTTATGAAAAATATATTAAAAATGGATCTATCAGATCTTCCATGAAGGAATTTGATAATATTGTAAACAAACACCTAGTATATCTTGACACGAATAAGAATACTTTGCTAGAAAATTTAGTTGCTCTGCCTGAGCTACATCTTTTTATTGGAGCAGTGGATAAAATAGCAGGACTTTTTTTAACTGGGTAGGATGGTTTTGAGTTTTGGTTAAATAAACACTATATAATTTAAAAAGGATATCATGGAGTTGAATGGGATGGCTTGACTTTAAGTTGCACTTTAAGTTAAAGCCTTGATTCACATCAACTTGAAGTGCAATTTAAAGTACCTTATCTACTTTCGGTAGTCTTACAGTAATTGCGATTAGGAAAATAGTCGGCATATAAAATTCGCTGAATGGTCACACACGAGCAGTGAACGCCTGAGGGAAGAAATGAAGTACATTAGAATAAAGGAGAATTATTTATTAGACAAAGGATATTTTGACAGTTGTCAAGACAAAAATAAAGATTAAAAAAGCTTAAGAACTTTTAAATCTGTACAAGAAGCTTGTTTTGGAAGAAATCTCGAATCTCAGAAACAAAATATTATTGTTTAAAGATCCATTTCTATGCCCACAAGAAAAAGTTACTTCACTTGGAAAGACACTAACAGTTTCATGGAAAATCTGCATTATAGTTTGCCATGTTTTTCTATATGTAAAGCATAAAGGGTGTGTCTCGTCAAAGTATGCAGAACAGTGTGGTGAAGTGATTATTGCAAAGTTCAAGCTTGCATAGCAATGATATAAACTCAGTATAGATCATAAAGATTATGAAGATAGATTGAAAACTGCTGTTGTTAATTAAAAGATTATAATACTTGATTTATATAAAAATTATACTTGGTAAAAATTTTCAATATCATTATATAGTTAAATAAAGCTGTCTTAGAAAGCTGTCATAGCAGAGTGTATGTTAGTAGGGTCAAGTAGGGTGCCAGATCAGAGAAATCAGGCAAAAGTCAGGGAATTCAAATAGCTCCAAAAAAATAAGTAATTAAGGAAATCAGGTTAAATTTTGGAAAAATTTGGGAGAAATCAGGGAAAATGGTTCTTAATCAAACTTAAGTAACTGAAAAAAAATTCCTATTGTACATGTAATATAAAATTTTATTCGTAATATATTTTACTCAATAATATATTTGAATTATAAAATTTAATATATTTGAATTATAAAATTATAAAATTTTATTTAAATTTCTATAATATTAAATATATTTTTTATTATTATTTATTTCATTATTATAGTTTTTTAAACTTCTATTTATACTTTATATGTGGGTTGATTTAATATTTATATTTTTGCAATTGAAGTACATTTTTCAAAAACAAAAGTCTAATTTTTCTGAAGTTGAGTTTGGGTAACTTAAAATCAAATCAGGAAATCAGATATCAGGGAAAAATTAGGGAAATTTACCTTAAATATTCACAGACACCCTAAAATAGAATTAGAGCAAATTTTTTTCAAGGGGAAAAATAAAACCCAATAATTTAGAAAACCCGTCCTCACCTTTATTAAATTGTTTTTCTATATAAACTTTTGTACTGACATAAACTAAAAAAAAAAAAAATCAAAAAATAAAAAAAATTCAATAGATTTTAAATTTCATTAAAAAATGCTTAAGCATTTAGGAGTTAAAGCTATATAAAAAATTAACATTCTCCCTTATTTTTTAATTGGGGAAGAGGGTTCAGAACTTTGTTTCTTCTAACTTCTTCTAACTTAGCAAGTGAAACTAATTTTAAATATGATATTAAATCATCTTAGTACAATGAAAGCAATATTTTATCAGTAAAAAATCCCAGGTGACACTCCATTAAACCTTATATGCTCTCTAATCCACAGTGAACTTTATATTAGTGTTTTGACAAAAAATATTTTCTTTTCAATCGCTTAGAAAGGCAGCCAAATTTGAATCTGAGCTCACTTTTGTATCATATTGGGTATAACATATGTAACAGGGGCTTGCAGTGGCATGTGAATTTTAACTCCAACAAAACTATGTTATTTATTAAAAACAAATATCAAAATACTGTCCACATTCCTATATTGATAACAAGCTACCGTGTCAATGAGTCCTCTTGAAGATCTTTTTGGATTATTGTTTACTATTGACCTCTGATGGAAACCATAAATACAATCAATTGGTGGTAAGTTAAGATCTGCTTAGATTGCCTTTCTTTATTGTGCTCGCCATTTTCTTACTCCTGATTCCTTTCTTTACCTCTGTAAATCTCTTATTCGTCTATGTAAGGAATACTATCATTATAATTAGGCTGGTACTTCTAATGATGCTCTTTCTTTTCTAGACATGCATCTAAAAACGCATTGTAAACGTAGTTGGACTTGCTTTATCTGCCAAGCTTGAGCAACTTTCTTATTGTTATAAATTTAGATCTTTTTTACAAACACTATCATGATCGCTGATCAAACAATTGCTGATCATCTCTAGTTTCGTCAACCAAAACTCATTCTTGCTTGACTTCAACAAAGTCACATTCTTTTACTGTATCTTACTGTAATTCTTTTTCTTGCACTTCAACCCTTTGGAACTTTCTCCCATGCTTTCCTGACTCATACAACCTACAACTTTTCAATTCAACTATTTCCTTGCTCTTTAACTCTTTTAATTCTTTGTTTTCTAGTAACTCCCAACTTAAAAGTGGTTGCTTGTTTTATTTTAAAACTTAAAAGTGGTTGCTTGTTGGGACAAAATTAAAATAAAATAAAAAAAAAAGGTAAAAAATTTTTGTTGTGTAAAAAAGTTAAAAAAATATCATTGACTTTTATAATTTTGTTTTCAATTAAAATCTTCAATTTTACCTATTTTATTGTTTGTATTTTGTGCTGATTGGAGCCTTAAGATTATTTACTGTATATAAATAAAAAAAGTGTTCCAAAACACTTTTTTTATTTATATACATTATTAGCCCTTCACTATGTTCCCCACCATAGTTATCTTCACCAAAGATGAATTCCAATACAACTTTGAACAATCGTTCAAAGTTTCATAAACAAAAAAATTGCATAAACTAATTATGAAAAATTATTTGCTATACGTAAAAAAAGTGATAAACAAATTATATTAACATGGCTGATGCTTAAGGAACTTAATACAAAAATAAGAAGCTCCATAAAATAAAAAAAACTCTATAGAATGAATAAGATACCACAAATGTCTAATAGGTTTCCAATGGCAACTAACGAATGATAACACAAATACCTACTAACTAAATATTTACCGGACCAAATATGAAGAACTATTTTTTTTAAGTATCTTTTAAATTTTTTTTTTATAAAACTACCTGATCAAAAAGTTAAATTTACCTCATCTTGCATTTCTCTCACTATTTTCCTTTCGGCTTCTAAATCCATCTATTAGTAACAAACTATGTATTTGAATTTATAAGTATTCAATATATTATAAAAAAATATTGAATACTTATAAATTTTATTTATCATTTAATAAGACGATTACAAAAAAATTTGAAAGTCTTTTTTAAATAACTTTGCCAATATAGTCAAAAGTCAAATTCAACAATATGGTCAAACAGAATAAATGTGGCAGTGTTAAAATTACAGGGTGATAACAGGATGCTACAAAAAAAAAAAAAATCAATTATATTTTACCTTTAAACAACATTAAGCAGTAAAAAAATCAACATAACAATTTGAAAAAAATGCCTGTTAATTGCTAGAACCTAATTTTGAAAAATAACATTAATTTTAACGTTGTGTCTAGCACAACGGTACCGTTGTTTTAATTTTTTATCTTAAAGTCATGCTAGAAAAGTTTGATTGGTTTATTAAAAGTCATGGCTGCGAATATGATTAGTTAGTTTTGAAAGTTTTATTTGTACAAATTTTTAAAAAATTACAAAATTAATATATGCGTACAGCATTGTGGATTCTCTGTTGTTTATTGCTCACGGAGTTCCGGGATCGAGTCCTGCATGCTGAAAAATGTTTTAAAGGTTTTTTAACAATTTTTTTTATTGAAAGCTATTATTATTGTTTGTATATTGAAGTTATATTTATGTTTATTATTTACAAACATCGACTGATTTAGAGATAGGCGCAGTGAGTGTACATACATCGACTGATTTAGGGATAGACGCAGTGAGTGTACATACATCCACAAATTTAGGGATATGCGCAGTGAGTGTGCATACATCCACTGATTTAGGGATAGGTACAGTGAGTGTACATACACCAATTAAGGGTTTTGGTTTGGGCATGCATTCTTTAAATAAAAGAAAAAAAAAAATCAACTAATCAGAAATCACTACCGTGACTTTAAGAAAAAAATTAAAGCGACGGTACTGCTGCGCGAGCAACAGCGTAATTTTAAATATGATTGTTGAAGATTTTTTGTACTGATACTTGTTTTTATTATTCAACAAAGAATACATAAATAATTATATATTTTTTGTATTGAAACATAGATGAGCATTTGACATCCCGAAAAAAAAATTTTCTATCATAATCCTGGAAATTTTTTTTCTATCATAATCCAGGAAAATTATTTTATTAAAAATTTATCGCATTTAATTGAAAAGCGGAACTTAGATTATTTTAAAACGGAATTTAGATTATTTAACTTTTTACAAAAAGGAATTTCTAATATTCAAAAAAGTTTGAATGAATTAAAAAGCAAAAAAAAAAAAAAGAAAAAAGAAAAAAAATTGTTACGAAAATTTGTGAAAACTTTAATTATAAAATAATTTTAATTATAATTATAAAATCTTCAAAATTTTAATTATAATTATAAAATCTCGTGAAAATTTTAATTATAGAAAACATATTTGTTTAAATGCAAAAGTTGTCGTATGTGAAATTTTATGTAAAAATATATATATTTTTTTTCAAATTAATATAAAAAAACATCAGGAAATTTCTAGAAAAATTAAAGGTGTTTTGAGTAAAATTCCAGAATTTCGGGAATTTCCTGAAAAAACTCATCTATGATTGAAAACTACTTAACAATTTTTGATAAAAAGAAGAATTTGCAACATATATGTGATAAAAAGATAAAGGAGGAATTTTTTTCTCATAAAAATTTAAAATGTGGAATTAATCCCTGTGATCGTGAGCGAAACTTGATGAATTAATTCCATTTAAAAAAAGATTTAAAAAAAATGAATCAAAAAAGATAGACAGAACATCTCAGCAAAAGAAAACTTAACTGAAAAATAAAAAAAAGAAAAAAAAAAGAGAAAGAAACTTGGTTCTGTTACGGTTACGGCCTTTATTTGGTTAAAATTTAACACCAACAAATTTTTTTGGTCAAAAGCGATAGTCAAAAATTAAACAAATAATTTTATTAATATTCAAGAATTTATTTTATAGTATTTAATTTTTTTTTTAAGGATGGCCAGCCAATAGCTAATTCAAAATTCCATGATATTTTAAGTACTTTTCAAGGAGAATTGGGGTTTTTAAAGGATATATTGATATTTTCTCTAAAAGAAAAAAATAAAATAAGTTGATTTACAAAAAAATATGAAAATGAAAAATGACTTAATAATTAGTAGGTGTTAATAATACTGACAGTAACATTAAACAAAATTTATTTTTTAATTACAGAAAATACATAATTAATAAATTCAATATAAACCTACACAAAATTAATAATTACTCTGTAAAAGATGAAAACATGATAACGAAATAATGAACTATTAAAAAAATAATTTCAGAAAAAAATTTCCAGGACTTCCAGGTTTTATTGCTAAAAGGGGTGTTTTTCCAGGACTTATCAAATTCCAGGACTTTTCCAGATTTTCAAGGGCCGGTGACCACCCTGTTGTTGCTTTTGTTCATCAAGGATTAATTGAAACAATTTGAACTTAATGATCTGTAGGCTATCAACAGTGTCACAAACTTTAATTTGAATCCAACCAAACAATTTACTTCACTAAATGGATTTGAACCTAAACTATTGACTCTCTATTCAAGCTGAAAAAACAAAAATAATATTTTTTAGGTTTAGTCTAGACAAACTTTACTGCTAGTTATTCATTAGTCAAGAAACAACATCATTTGTGCTATGATCTAATGAATACTGCTAGCATTAATGGTAAAAGTTGGTAAATTGATTTATTATTCTATAATATTATAGATCAGCAATTTGTCTTGACACTTAAGTTCACATAGTTTTTAATAGCACATAACATTAAAAATACATAGTTCACTTAAAGAAACTATGAAAAGGAAAATTAAGGATTTTAAAAAGACAAAAATTTTAAACGAAAAAGGAACAGTATTACAGCATTTAAAAACTTCAACAAAATGCTGTATCAGCACTTAAATCTCACTGGTATTATTTGTAATGTGTATAAAAAATTATTTTATTTTAGTTTTGTTCCTACTAGTTTAGTCAAAGATTTATCATATTTAAGTACAAAATAATTGAAGGTTTGCTATGAATAAACTGTTTGACCATACTATCTAAAATTCTTTCATTGTAACAACCTCCATTTCAATCCTTCTGGTTAACTCTTCAGCAAACAAACTGTCATTACTACATCTGCAAAAATAAAATAATTTTTATTTTATAAAAAATACTCATTTTACGATTTAAATTTATTAAAAAAGGTTTTTTAAAAATTTCTGTATAAATTAAATTAAAAAAAGTTAAAATTTTTTTAACAAAACAAGAAAAAATTAAAAACTAATCTTACAGTTCTTTTATTTGTGAGGACGTTAGCAGCCCAGACTCCTCTACTTCTTTTAAAAATATAGCCTTTGCTGTATTGATGTCCATTTTCCCAAGTTTCCGAGCTGATTTGTTACTTTCAAAGTACTTGTTGACTATAAAAAACAAAAAACTTAATAAACTAATTAGGAATAATTATATATATATATATATATATATATATATATATATATATATATATATATATATATATATATATATATATATATATATATATATATATATATATATATGTTTCTATACCTTATTTCTATGTTTTATGGCCAAAACTTTGTTTTACATTTTTTCTGCCAAAAGTTTTAACATGTCATTAATTTATTTAAATATGACATTACACAAAATTTTTACAACTCAATGCAATTCTGTATATGTTTTGCAGATCAAGACTAAGAAATTTAATTGTGATAATACCACTAGAAAGATATAAGGTTTATGAATACAAGGTTTATGAATTCCTACTAATCTTACTTGCAACTTTATTATTTTTCTCACCCAGGAAAGTTGTCTTTACTACGGCTAAAAAGCCTCATCTGTCTCATAATTATTCATAAAAATAAGAATGGAAAATTTTTTAGCTTTTTCCCAATGCAGCAGTATTTTTAATTATGTTCTTTAACTCCTACTGTTTCTTGTGAAAATTATGAAAATTTAATTTTGATTTTAATGCATGTATTTGCCTACATCTAATTTTTTAGATGGTGCCAATATAAAATATATCATTAAAAAACTGTATATCGAAATCTCAAAACACAAACAGATATGCTACTTATTAACAACTTATTTTCTGTCTGTGTGATTTGCTATTACTATAACACATAGCACAATTCTCTAATTTTAGAAGATTGTAAATTGGACATTTAAAAGACAGTAAATAGGAGAATAACAATACTGTTAGAACAACACTTGACAAAATGTATAAAATGACAAAATATATATCTAGCAGTATCTTTGTGCTGATGCGTACCATAAAGATTTATTGAAGGAAACATTGCTAAATAAATGCATTTTTCCATGAAAAAAAAAAACAATATTTGATAATTATAATAATATTAATAATAAAAAGTTCTCAACTTCTGAATATGGGTGGCACCCAAAATTTACCCAAATAGGTTCAACCCTGTCAAAAAAGTAAGAATAGCCTCTACCATGTGAAAACACTCGTGGCATTTTTGTAATTAAACTGGCCCAAGTAAAATTGTGATAAAGGTTCAAATTTTAGGTGTTATGCTTATTTTTTAATGTTTTGAGTGGTTTTATTGAATTCCTTGCCTCAAATTATGTGTGTAACAGGGGCTATTCTAGAAAAAAAATTTGGACTGTGGTACTCCCCATCCCGGCAAAATTTAGCGCAAATATTGATAAATGTAGGCGTATTTCTGCGAATAAAACCATATTTGCTGTAAAAAAAAGAAAAGGTCCCCAATTTTAAATTTGGGCGCCCAAATAAAGTTGGCACTGTCAATAAACAGTCTAGAATAGCCCCTGTGTACATATTTTTAGCTTTCTATTGCATACAGAATAGAAACAAAAAACAAATTCATCTTTTTAAATGGCAGATTTTTGATGGTTCAAGGCAAAGTTAAAATAAATATATATTTTTGAAACCGGTTGGAAAAATATGATGAAATTTTGTGGATGTTCACAACTTATTAAAATCTTTGAGTGTTGTAAAAATCAGCAAAATTAAGACTTAGAGTTGCATTTTATGAAAAAATTAAATGTTTCGAATGGAATTGCCCTTTTTAATTTTTTTTAAAAGAGTTTTATTTAATAAAATCAAAACAATATATAATTTTTATATAAAATGATTATACTTTGATATTTTTATAATCTTGTTTCTTTTGAGACATTCTTAAAAAGATTTTTTTTAAACAATATCAAAAATCATTCAAGTGTTTAAGGGTCTTCAGCAATCCCTGAAAACAATTTTATAAACTAATTTTTAAAACCGTTTGTCATTTTATTTTTTGAAACAAAAAATCCTCTTTAATATTGGCCACAATAGTTGGGAGGCATAGAGAACCTCTCTTAAGGCTCTAGCTACTTTTTACCATAGAACGTTTATTTTAATACCTGATTTAACAGAGAAACAATAAAAACAACAGCATGGTTATACTGTTTATTTTACTGAAGAAATGCCATTTTTTTCTTCTTGAAGGTAAGTTCCGCCTTGTTATTTTTTTTTTAAATACTGGTCTGATTAATGCGTTTTTGTAGTTAATAAATGACGTCAATACAAAAACATTCTTTTAAATAAATTAAACTCTAGTTAAAAAATTATGTTTGGGTTTTCCCTTTGAAATTAATCTTTATGCAGAAGATTGCCTTTATATAAAACCTTTTATAAAACATATAATAACTGAATAAAAATAATACGATTTACAGACCCTAACTCTTAATCTTGTATCAAAATTCAAACTTTCTGCTAATGATTGCTACCATAGTTCTATCAATGCTTTGTAGCTCTAGTATCCAGAATCTTTTTAAAACACTTTAACCTAGTGATCCACCTTGTTACACAGAGTTTATCAAGCATTGGTTAAAGGAACATGGAGATTCCTCAAATTCTCCCTTAATATTCTCCATAATGCTTCCCAACACTTAACTAAAACGCATATTTACCCACGGTTCCCATAACATCATAAAATACTGCACAACCTTTTGTTAATGATTTGATTGCTAGACTATGAGAGTGCCCTTGACAATGAGTTGCTAAAAGTTTTGGTTGTTCTGCAAAAATTCATGCTAAGGCACTTGACCGCTTCCCCATCATTTCCTTATGATTTCCATTACATCATAAAATATTGCACAATCTTTTGTAAGTGATTTGATAGCCAGACTAATAGAGTGCCCTTGACAATGATTTGCTAAAGTTTTTGGTTGTTCTGCAAGAATTTGTTAAAACACTTGACTACTGTCCCCATCATTTTGCTTGCGCCATTTTGCATTGCATCATTTTGCTTGCTTTGACTACTTGTTAAAACACTTGACTACTTACCCCATCATTTTGCTTGCGCCATCATATATTTGGCCACAACAGTTCACTAAATTTAAATGATATCTTAACAGAATGCCCTCAATTGCATTAATAATGTTTTCATTTTTGATATTAGTAAATTTGTAAAATTTCTTAATATAATATTTTTTTTAAAATAAAATGTTTTGTTAAAAATAGAATCTTTAGTAAAATATAATATTTTTTTACGAATCTTTTCTTAAAGAATTTTAAAAAAAAAAGATTCTGAAAAAAGTTGTTTTTTAACATCAATTCAATAGAAAGAATATTTTCTTGCATACTGAAGGCAAATTCAAAGATTTTATATAATAGAAAAACTTTTTCAAAACTAGGAGAAAAATTATTTGAAAAAGGTAAGGAGCCATCCCCCTTCCCCTGTCATCATGATCACTGATAAGATCACTTTAATAGTTGCAATATTTTTAAAAGCTCTTTAATAGTTTAATTACTATTTTAAAACAAAAATATTAAAGCTTTACCCTTTCTAGCCAATACTTTTAAACACATTATGGTGTAAAAATACTTTAATTTTGATTTTACTGCTACTTTATTAATCAAGTTTAATGTTCCATTTTTATAGTAACTATGGGATCCATATTTTAACTTTATTTTATTTTAGCATATTTTATTATTTTATCATATTTTAACTTTATTTTAATCATATTTTAACTAAGAGATCCATTTTTATTGTAACTATGGGATCTTTTTTTTTTTTTTCCAGATTTGGTAATGATTTAGAAAGTTGTTTTAATACTTATTAGTACCACTCACTTAATCAGACTTCTGTATGTGCAACAGCACCCTTATTGATTATTAACTTATTGTTACAAAGATCAACAAATACATTTAAAATAAAAAAGTTAAAGTAAAAAGATCTACTTAGAAAGTTTATTTAGGTTAAGAACATACTAAGGTTAGATGTTTATTTTGAAACTAGACATTATTAAAAAATAGTTTAGATTATAATAAAAATGTGTGTTGAGCAACAACAAACACAAGATACTTATTTTTTGTTAATAATCATTACAATAATATTAATAACAATCATAAAAAAAAATCAAAAAAAAATTAGTAACAATAGAATAACAAAAACAACTACAATAACAACAGCAACAACAACAGCAACTGCAACAAAAATAAAAACCACTTACACTCTTCACTCTGGAGTTTATCAGCTAAACATTCATCTTCTCTATACCTAAATTCTCCAGTAACTGCAAAGGTAATAAAATACATATGAGAACATTTCTAGGAAACTTAAAAATGTTTTTTTGTATTACAAACACATCATAATATAATGCGTACATGATATATAATTTGTATGTATTACATGTATTTACATTACATAAAATAAATTATTTTATGCAATGTAAATACATGTATAATAATAAGCTCTAATAATATTAGAGCTAATTAGTAATATCATTATTTAATAATGATATTACTAATTAGATCTAATATTATTAGAGCTTATTATAATACTAATTTTTAGTAAATCAAAACTTTATGTCTTCACTCTCTGTTTGCTAAAAAATCTTTATATTCAAAGAAATACAATAAAGAACTAACTTTTTTCCACATGTTTTCTCCCTAGAAGATCTGGAGGCTCGTAAACTATAGGCTTATCAGGTTCAATGTGATGCTTTATTATATTTGACATTATACTTTGCATCAAAGTTTCTCTATATTTAATAAAGGTAAATTATTTTGCCTAATCTCTTTTAAAAAGATCACTTAATAAAATTATTTTATTAAAAGACCACCAGCTGCTCATACAGATTTTTACTTTAATTTTTATTTTTTAAACTCGCGCAAGTCAATTGTTAAAATTTTAGAGTTATTCGTTTCGTAGCAGGATTTTATCCGCAGTAGACACGAAAGGAAATAATAAAGTAGAAGTTTTTTTATCCAAAATTTTCTTTGCTTAAATATTAAAATCTAGTTAAATACAAAGACAAAACGGATCTGTTGTGTATATTTCATTTCGACCATTGATATATATTTATATATATTTATTGGATTTAAAAGTACTAATACGATTTAATCTAAATTTTTTCATCCAGCATCTGGTTTCACATACCACATGGCTTAAAGCGCGTTTATTACAACGCACGCGTAAGGTAAAAGGTAAACTCTTTTGTGCTTGTAAATCATAGTCAATCTACCTGAAATAAACAACTACCTGCTCCATATTGGTAACATCACTAGTTTTATCTAAGATAAATGCTGACTGTATTTTCCAGTTTTAATAGCCGCTCCCAGTAAAGACAGAAAAGAGTTGTGAAAAGCAGTCGCGGCGCAGTGGTTAAGTTGCGTGCTTTAGAAGTAAGAAATCTAGGGTGTTCGAGCTCTTCTTGTAATTTTTTATAAATAAATATATTTCAAAATTGAAGCAGAGATTAATATTCAACAATATACATCAAATTTTTGAGGACTTGAAAATTTTTGTGCAAAGTATGGCTTTGAAGTATTGAGAATACTTTCAAAATTAAATATCACTTGTTATAGAATAAGCAACCAAAGATCTTTTTTTCTATTTTAATAGAGCTTATTAATTGTAAAACAGACGTAGCCTCCCATGTACATTCGGATACAAAATTGATCAAAGGTCTTTAATTATCCTTAATTTATTTTCTAAAATTTTATTAAAGAAATCTCAATACTTTAAGGCCGTACGTTATACTGTTTTATAAGAAAATTGTTTAGGTTTAATCCTTACTTTTTATAAATATTTATGTTGCTGTTTATCTTTTATTTTATTTTATTTTTTTGTTTTGTTTGCCTTTTGTTGCCCTATTGCTTTAGAAAATAAGTTTATAATTTCCCATTGGCTAATTGGATATCCACAAAAAAAAAAAAAAAAAAAAAAAATTGGAATATTCTTTTTGTTTCAAAGTTGGTTGTTTCATACATTTAAAAGCCTTCCTACGCCACTGCCATTTAGTATCAATTAGATTTATATTGCATTGAAGCATCTAAACTTATAGTTAGTTTGTGTGCCTTGTATATTATCTCTTCTACTATACACAAAGTCCTTCTACATTACATAAAATACCTTTGCCAATTGGGGTATAGATGCACTGGAGAGTTTAAATACACAGATAAAAAATTCTATGCTTAGATAAAGGCAATTTATCGAAGTTAAACACTATGAATCAAAGGCACAACTTTCTATAATAGTCAGATCAAAAAGAATAAAGCAAGTCTTTTAGAAAACATACAAAGTATCAAAGAAAATTACCATATTAAGTTATTAAAGAGATTGTAAAATAAAATAGTAAAATATGATAAAATCTAAAATTCAGTTTTTTTCCTATGTATCAACATCCTTTAAAAAGCATTTTTATACAAATATCCGATAGAGTAATGTGTCAAAATATTTTCTTCTGGCTTGAAGATTCTAATACTTAAACTTAAGTTATTTTAAAAACGTGTAGTAAAACGTAACGCACGCATTGTAAATGCATCAAAAATGTGCATAAAATTTTTTTTATTAACAAATTTAAATTCTTTGGAAAAAAACAACAACTCAAATAAATATAATTTCAACATGTAACATGCTTATTTTACGATGTTAAAATTTGTTGAGTTTTTGCAGTTTTTTTATCTTTCTAAGGCAGAGTGCGGCAACGTTCCACTAAAAATTCAAAGCATTAATTAGTAAAAAAAGTAGCAATTTTCTAGATTTATTTATTTTTATAGGTAGCATTTAGTATTGACCCTCCCCCCCTGACTCTTTCTTCACAAAATTGGGTAATACTCAGCTGGCATATTTCGCATATAAGTGTATGCATAAAAATAGTTAAGCTCACTCAATGCAACTAAGACATAGAACAAACAAACTCGTAGAAAAAAAAAGATTGGTTGTTAGTGGCAAACAGAAAAACTTTCTAGCTATGGATATTCAATTTATGGAAACAAAGAATTTGTATTGAAAGTAATTTATTTATAAAGTTTACCGCCTCTCTTTTTTGATTGTTAACGCATTGTTAATAGAATAATTTATTATTTCAAAATGGCCGAATAAGTCCCGAGTATTTCATAAAATGATACTAAATACCGAAAACAGTTTTTTAAATGGGGCTAAAAGTTATGATTATTTATGCAAAACAACTTTTGTAGAAAAATTAATACTACCATAGGTTGTCTAAATCTAACGTGTGAGATTGTTAAACATACTCATTTAGGTGTGGTGTTAAAAATATTAACTTCAATTTTCATAAAAAAATTGGTTTTTCATGGATAATTTTCCCAAATAATGTTTGATTAGAAATGTCAAGTTTCATTCATTAAAAACAAACACCAATAAGTGCTTTTATGAAAAAATCAAATTCATAGACTTATCTAGAGCCAAGCCCCAAGTTATTTTATGTTGAAAATTGCCTCTATCCTAAATAAAACTACGCTTGACGATTTGTTATAGTCACCTTACTTTTACCAGATTATAATAGTAGTGTTTCGAAAAACGTGTACCAGGCCTTAGTTGCATTGAGCATATACAGCACCCGGAATATGAGTTTCATTAGGGGTTGAAGAAAAAAAACACACAACTAGAACCATTAGTTTTTACAGCAGAGTTAACTATTATGATTTTTAAGAGATTGCCTGAAAATAATAATCCTAAAAATGTTAAGTGAAAATAATAATCCTAAAAATGTTAAGTGAATTCATTAAATATGCAGTTGTGGCTTAAGTACGCAATAAGAACAACTGCGGTTCTCATTACAGATACTTTGTAATAAGATTTTGTTAAAGACTTTTTGACAATAATTAAAACAGAAATAACGTTGATAAAAAAAAAATCAAATCAAGATGTAACATTAATTTATTTCAGCTGTAAAATTGATAGTTAAGCTTCTAACACCATTAATAAAATTACTAAAATTTACATGATTCGTGCATAAAATATTTGTGCAAAACATAAAAGATTTTTTCATAGAAATCTTCTTAATCGAAGAAAAGTTTAAAAAAATGTTTGCTTTTACTTCTTCTAATATTCGACTTTATCTTTGTCAAGATGTTCCTTTATCTACAACCTTAAAAAACCACACCTATTATTTATACAAGTTGCATAAAATAATTGCTTCCATAAAACATTGAAAAATTGAAAGGCTTTCATTGTATTTACAAAATTTCAAACATAAACATAATAAAATCAAAGAATGCACACAAGCTTATAGCTTGCATAAAAGCTTTCAGCTTACATAAGAGATTCCAAAACATTTTTCTTTAAAATAATTTTTTTTTTAAATGTAAAAAATGTATGTAAATTTACAATAAACAAAGAAATCATGTTTTTAACAAAAAAAAAATAAAAATAATAAAAAAAAACAACAACGAAAAAACAATTTAAATAAACAAACTATATTTACACGCCATAAACACTTTCATCACTATAAGCAAAGTAAAGAAAAAAATCTTCTTCATGATGTTCCTGATAAAGTTGACCCATTGTTGCACTAGTGGGAGGTATAACGTTGTTTACAAAGAAGAAAAGGGCATCTTCAGCTCGTAGATGAATTCTTTTGCGGATCAAAAAGTAAAACTGGCCAACTAAAAATAAGAAAGGTTAAAATAAGAAAGGGTAGAACTAATAATATTTGTTTATAAGAAACAAAAAACAAAAAATAAAAAAATAAAAATAAATAAAATTCTGTCATGATGTTACATACTGATTTTTAAAGGAATTTAATTTTTTTTCTTTTTTAGAGTCGAAACTCTGGTATATAAAAATTGTTCAAGATACCACCGCTAAACTTTGAAGCAACAGATTATACAGACACAATCAACTGGTCATCAAATAAAAGTGCTGAACCTCCAATATTCAGATCAATTGAATCGACTCAGCTTAAAAACAGCATTCTGACCTCAGAAATGCTACAATTTAAAAGCTTTCCATGCCACACTCAGTCTGTAGAAAGAGGCGTGAAACTAGTCACTGAAGCCAGTATGGCGGTCTGTGAACCTCAGCGTGATGGTTTTATTCGTGCAAGAATAGAGTCGCGATCAGCTATGAAAGTCTTTAACACAAAATCTGATTTCAGCCTTTCAATATGACGTTCTTAAAATGATTAACTGACAGAAAATAAACTTGAACCAGACTTACTTAATTTTGTTTATAATAATTGTTATTCTTAATTTTTGTGGCACCTCAAAGTTCTACAATTTACATAAATATATTTTCATTAGGTTCTGATATGATGTTAAAACCATCATACAGGTTTATTATAATAGAAATCGAAAAACAAGATCATTTTACTTTTAGCCATTGATTTTTTTGTGAAAATATGAATTTAATAATAATTGTAATTTCTAACTTTTTGGGGATTTTGGGGGATTTCAAAGATATTGGGGGATTTCTGGTAAATTATCTTGAGGTGTGGCACCTCAAGATAATTTTACAGAGTATTTCTGATATGAATAGACAACTTTTGCACACCCAGGCAAAATGAATTAAAAAAAAAAAAAATTTAAATGTTATCACTGCACCCTAATATATATATATATATATATATATATATATATATATATATATATATATATATATATATATATATATATATATATATATATATATATATATATATATATATATATATATATAATATGCTTTTTTTTTCTTTTGTTTATTCGTCTTTATGCTTTTAAAAATGTTTTTGCTATATACGACGTTTTTTCTCGTACTTATATAATAGGAAAATAAGAAAATAAATTGCTATATATTTGTAAAATATATTATGATAAATAAATTTTGTAACGAGGGAAAAAATTAAATAAAAGAATAACATGGTTTCTTTCATGAATGTATTTATTGCATTTAATGCGTGTCTGAAAATGCTTTTTTATATTGCCCAATTTCCAACGTTAATAGTGATAATTAACATAATGATTGCTCTGTTTGAAAAAATGTATTTAAAAATTTAAAAAAAAGTTTTAAATAGGCTCCTAAAAATTTTGTTAAAAAGTTCAGTATATTAATAATGCACTAACCCGCTAGCTTTAATAGGATCGTCAAAAACAATAATTTATCAGGAAATAAACTTCAGGTTTAAATGCACAACTTGAATATTCCAACAAAAGTTAAGACTATTTCTATGGGGGTAGTGAAAGCAACTAAATAATTAAATATACATAATAATGACTTTTTTTTACATAAAAAACTTGTTTATAAAAAATTTTTATTTTTAGAAATAAATAGCAATTCGTTTTCTTGCTTTTATGTGTATTGATAAAAACAATAAAGTTTAACAAAAAGATTTAAAAAACAAATTTAAAAATTGTCGATGTTTCTAGCGCAAATAATAAAGTATAACCTTAATATACTGACTGAAAAAAGTCACAAAAAAATTGTATATCAAAAAAATTTTTTATTTTCATTATATTCTTATCTGCTTTTACCTCGAGTTGTATTAATTTTGGTAATGGAAAATAATAAACAACCTAAAAATAAGAAAACAAAAACAATAAAATATTTAGGCATATTTTTTTAACATTTTTTTTTTTAGCTTATTATATTTATATTTTCTATATTGTATAGTCTTCTTTCTTTTCTTTGAGTATTGATGTTTTATTCTCACTAGTTTCTTATAGCTTTATTTAAAACACTTACTATATAAAAACATGGTCAGGTTGTCTAAATAATTACTTTAAGCGTGGACCAAAAAGGTGTTTGACCGCAAGTGCTTCCCTGGAAAGCTTGCTATAAAAATGTTTTTTTTTGCCAGATTTTACAGCCAGATTGGAAAAATTTCAAAATTTATTATACTAAATTACAAAATTTATTATACTAACTCTACATATGCGGAAAAGGTGCATATGATTTTCTTTGCTCTTAAAGCTATTTTTCAGAATGAATTATTTTACTAAAAAATATTGAATTAAATAAAGAATAGGTATAGAAATGATCAGTGTGGAATAGAATAGAAATGCCGATTTGGTAAAGACCCAAATTCTACAGGTCCGGAAAACTAGGATATATAAGGAAAAAGTATAGTAAAAGTCTGTATGGAATAGACTTATAAAGAACCATATTTTTACAGGTCCAATTAGCTAGTAAGAATATTAATAATAAGAATAATAGTATTAAGAAAATCTGTAGTATTATAAATAATAAAATCATAATGAAATATCAATATTATGAACAAATATAATTGATTCACAAGAAAGGTGTCACTTATGCAGAAACCTGATCAAAATAGTGAAACCAAGTAACTATATTAATAATATTAATTAAAAAAAAACAATAATAATAACAATAAGAGCTTTATTCATTAATAGAGCAAAAATAACAGCAAAAATAATAGTATTAATAATAACTATAATAATAATACTAATAATAATAATAGCAGTAATAAAAATAATAATAACAAATACAACAGAAGTTTCTATAAAAGTAGTAAGTAAAAAAATAATTTAATAATGATAAAAAACTAAAATAAAATTTGTCAGTCAGCAAATAGAGCCACTTTAAATGCAAAATTTTCATAAAAGTTGTTATTGTAAATAAGAAATAATAGAGAAGCAAAGATAGAACCATGTGGTACCCATAAAGTTATTCAAAATTAAGTGTCAGGTCAGGTTATCCTGCTACTGGTAACATGTAACCCAGTACAATCTACTTTATATCCTGTTGTATCTGTTTGTACTTTTGGTATGCATTATCAAGGCCACATTTGGAGCCCTTTGTTACAGCTTAGGGTTTATTAATAGTAATGAGGCAATTGCTTGGCTATTAAACAGTGTATCGAGTACTACCTATGTTTTCAGTCAAGTTCTTTAACAAATTTAAAAATGAATAAAGTACCAAAAACTATAAAACACAAAAAACTATTATCATCACCAAGTTCTCTAAACCTATCATTCACTAATATTTGTGGTCTTCGAAGTAACTTTTCTTCTGTTAAGTCTTATCTCTTGCAAAGTTCACTAGACCTTCTTGCTTTTTGTGAGACTAATTTGAGTTCAGCTGTCTTATCTTGTGATCTTAGTGTTGATGGTTATCTTCCTTTAATTCATAAAGACTCCAATAGTCACATGCATGGCCTGGGAATTTACATTCGTAAGAATTCACCCGTTTGTCGAGAAACTAGGTTTGAATCCACAGACTATTCTTTTATGTGCTTTCATTTAGCACCACTTCACTCTATCACTTTTCTCTTTGTTCAATATCGCTCTCTTTCATCTCAAGACTGTACTCTTTTTGATATTATTTCTGATCATATTGACCAAGCCCTCTTTCTTTATCCATAAGCCAATATTGTTGTTGTCAGTGACTTTAATGCTCATCACATTGAATGGTTTGGCCCTAGTATCAGTGACTCTGCAGGCTTTAAAGCCCACAACATTTGACTTTCTTAATCCCTAACTCAAGTAGTCAACTTTCCATCTTGCTTTTCAGACAGCCCAAATCATTTACCTTCTCAACTCGACTTATGTCTTGTTTCTGATCCTAGTCAGTGCTTAGAAAATTCTCCAGAAAACAGACGTCTGTTTATTACTGCTAGAAACCTTTGTAAAAAGGTTTCTAGCAGTAATAAATGCCAAGGCCTGTTATTCTCAGGTCACGAAATCTCATATTTCATCACAAAAACTAGGCTCTCATGACTTCTGGAGAATCTATAAATATTAAGAAGTAATTAATTTTTAAAAAAACCACAATAACTTTTGAATAACGATATGTAAAAATATTTATTACAAAAAAAAAAGTTATGTTAAAAATAATTGTAGTAACTTTTCATTGCGATATATTTTACCTTCTTATAACAATTAATTTTACCCTAAAATTCTTATTCAAATATTTAGTAACATGAAAAATTGTTCATCAATCCTTAACTACAAATTTTTTGCAAATGTTTTTAATAAAAAGTAGTAACTTTTTAAAGTTTTCAGTAAAATTTTAGAAGTTTTCAGTAAAAAACTTTAAAAAAATTTATATTCCAAATTTATTAATACAGAATATAAATAATTTTTGTAATATAGATTATTAAAGAGTTTTTTACTAAACTCATATTAAAAAACATTTGCAAAAAATTTGACATTTTTTTTAATATCTCAAAAAATGTCTTAACATTTTTGTTATCATGATAACAAAAATATCAAGACATTTTTTCGAGATATTAAAAACAATGTGCCAATGAATGAACAATCTATTTGTATTGTACTAAAAATTACTTCATTAATTATTACTCTTTGCTTTTCTTATTAGTTAAAGGTAACTTTACCTTTAAGTTATGTGGGGGGAGGGAGCCGACACAGAAAAAAAAAATTACCTGTTACTCGCAATTTTTGAATGAAGACAATTTGTTAAATTTCTTCTGCGTGCAATTCAATAAGTTTTTTTTTTCATAAATCAAGTTATATTATAAGGTAAAGAACTCACGAGTAGACTATAACATCCACTAATGACACTAATATTACATTAAATATATTTATATAACGGAGGTTTCATTATGCACGCGCACATTACAAACTCCGTTAAATAAGTACTAAGGCATGTTTTAGTTTAATGACAGTCTCTATTTTTTACTAATGACTATGTATTTTTCTGTATAAAATCAGACAAACTAGTATATAAAAACCTAGTATATTTTTATTCTCTCCAAATTGTTTAAAGTTCAAATATGGATTGTATTTTGAAGGACAAAAGATTTACTTTGAAAACTTTTAAATCCTGGGACTTTGCCGATGCTTTTCTAATTGAAACTATCACAGAAAAAGATAAGGCTTACATTATTAAAATCAAATGCGAGTTATGTGATCTTCATCAAAATAAAATATTATTCAAAACCAATGGTGCCTTAAGGGTAGCTGCCCTACGGTTTATAAATGACACAAGTCATGTTAAAATATTTTAACATGTTACAATACTTTATTTAAGTTGGTATATAAATAAAAATAAAAATATAGTTCAATAAATAAATTAAATTTGATCTTATCAAAGATTACCTCATATTTATTCTTATTTTTATTTTATTATTCTAAGTTAAATTACAAGCTTACAAACAAAAAAAAAAGAGTTTTGTAATTATACGTATAATAAAAATACTTTTGAGATTATAGGTTAAGGAAGATTATAGGTTTGAGATTATAGGTTGAGATTATAGGTTAATTTTTAATGAACAAATTTTAACGAACGTTTATTATAAACATATACGATTCAAATTGTTAAATATACTTATATTATTTTAGTTGAGTATTTTTTTAAGTTTGCATGATTAAAGTTTTGCGTAGAAATATTTATTTTTTGTTTTAAGAATAATTAACAAAAGAGTTTGCATAATTAAGACTTTTATATTTAATTAAATTTTTTTTTAAATTACTAAAATTCAAAACAAAGATTTAATTGTTAAAAACAATTTTTCTCTATAGCTCTGTTTCTTTGTGATTTGTTTAAAATGTAAAACATTATTACCATAACGTAAAAAATTTATGAATTAAATTCCTGGCGAACGCGTTCAAACCACATATCGAAAATATGCTCAAAGCAGACATGAAACTTTTATATATTTTTATATACCGCAAGTTAAAAAGCTAAGCAACATAAATTTAAAAAATATTTAAAAACCTAAATTATTCTTTGCTAGTCAAAACAAAATTGCTGTTTAAATAATTAACAAGGGTTTTTGTTTATCAATGTTAACATTTTTTGTTTACTCTAAAAAGTTTTTAAAATAAAAAAATCATTATTATTTTTTATTCAATAACGATTTGTAAACAATATTTATTCAAAAACAAATTTCAGAAATATTTTATATATATATATATATATATATATATATATATATATATATATATATATATATATATATATATATATATATATATATATATATATATATATATATATATATATATATATATATATATATATATATATATATATATATTATTTTACTAAACAATATTAAACTAAAATTAAGATTAACATAATAATTGAAAACATAACAAACTTTTCATAATAAATTTATATTTAAAACGTTTATAGTTATTTGAGTTAATTGTTAAATTGAACTAGTTAGCGATTATTTATTAATTGCGGTAGTTGAAACGCTTTATGTCTGATATATATATATATATATATATATATATATATATATATATATATATATATATATATATATATATATATATATATATATATACATATATATATATATATATATATATATATATATATATATATATATATATATATATATATATATATATATATATATATATATATACATATATATATATATATATATATATATATATATATATATATATATATATATATATATATATATATATATATATATATATATATATATATATATATACACATCAACCCTCAAATTCGGAAAAATAAGGTTGGCAAAAAAATGTCAACCTGGAACTGTTCGAGGTCGGCAAAAAAAATTTGTATATATATATTAAAATTTATATATATATATTAAAATATATATATATATATATATTTATATATATGATAAAACTATTATATTAACTTTCAAACCTGTTAAATCAGATGGAACAAGATATTTCTTTTTGTCTACATCGCCAATACGAGCTTTAGGTGCTTTCTCCACAATAACCTTAACCAAACAAGAAAATAAAATAAAAATACAACCTAAAAATACACACACTGGTTTTTGGTTATTTTTGATTTAAAGAGAATGAAAAATTAAACTTAAAAATCTACAACAAACATCTTTTTGCTTAATCATTTATTACTAAACATAACATTTCTAAAACATGGTTTTTGCAAAAAGAAATTTATATTGATTTTTAAACTAATTGTTGAAAATCCCAATTCTTTAAACAATCATATAATTAAATTGTATTTAAGCATTTTTTCCTGAAGCCAAAAACATTTGTTTAATTTAACAACTAAATACTAAACATTTGCATTTTTGAAATATATATATATATATATATATATATATATATATATATATATATATATATATATATATATATATATATATATATATATATATATATATATATATATATATATATATATATATATATATATATATATATATATATAGTCACTTCTGGTAAAGCAGAACTTGTTGGAATTCATGTAAAAGAAGACACTAATTTTTGAGAAACAGATATAAAAGATGTTAGGTCCATCAAGTGCAAGACTTTTCAGACAACCTTCTATGACAACAGATAACCTTGTCAAAGTTCAGTTCAACCCTGGTTTATCTATTTCTGCAATGAAAAAACTTGATCAAAACCACAAATATAGTAACAAAAACAAAGGTTGCATTCTTTTCAAAGTTTCTTTTAACAGGACAACAGTTTGCTGCTTATTTTACTTAATTGTACCTCAACAACAAGATTTTTCCCAATGGATAGTAAACTTCCATTGTTCTCATTGATATAGCTCTAACATTATAGAACATTTTGTGAAAAACGGTATTGAATGAGAAGATTTTTGAAAACTTCCCTGCAATCATTGATATTGATACAAAAAACAAAATCTGTTGTCCTCCAAGAGAAAAAAATCCTGGACAATTAAATATATAAAAACCACTGCCAATGTCATCAAAACCACATGCCAACATCAGCAAAATATGGTCTTAAGCTAAAATTAAAAAGTAAATTATGTCAAGGCTTGTGACATTAAATTATCAAATTTTCTTGTCTTGTTTTAGTTCTCATCCATGTATTGTACCATGCATTGTTGTGATTTTGAATCTAGGGACCTTGAAATTTAAGTCACTTTAAAAGGTGTCGGGGTAGAATAAAAAAGGCAAAATATTTTGCCAAAAATTGGATGGGTTATTGAACAGCAAAATATGTGATTAACTGATCACCTTTGGATCTGACAATCTGATGATCTGATATGCACATTCTGATGATCTGATATGCACATTCTGATGATCTGATATGCACATTCTGGATATGATACCTTCATAGAAATTCATCTTAAAAATTACGATTTTAAAAAGTTAAAAGTTTTGAATGCCTTTATTAGAAACTTAATAAGAAACTTAGCAAAATAAAGTTGAATAGGGGTTCTATGCATCACCACCATGGTGGAGAATTTGCAAGGAACACCTGCAATACATTACTTAAGAATATAGATCTTCATCAGCAAATGGCAGAAAGCAGAGTGTTAAGGTGAGCTAAACAAAACTTGAACCCCCCCCCCCTATTTTCAAAGTTTTTTAGGGAAAGCATAATACTACGTCTTGCAGGGCATCAAAGAGTCAGCAAAAAATTCCTAGTGCTATGTTGTTTTTGGTTATCTATCCAAAGCTAAAGAGACTCAGCTGGACAATGCAAACAAATTTACAAATGAGACAAAAGATCCAAATGACAAACAATGCTCTGTATCATGCAGTATTCAAAGACATAAGATGATAGAGAACATAGCAAGCATACCAAAGCACCAATCATGGTAATATCACACAAGAGATATGTAAAGAAAATTAAAATGCTCTGCAGGATTAATATAGGGACTACAGACTTGGACAGGAGTGCAGGGTCATGGTTGCCCAGGAGGCAATGCGGGATTTCCGCATGGGCTTTTCACTTTTTATTTAAATATAGGCCTTTTAGCACTTTTTAATTCAAGTATGGGCAAAAAAAAAAAAAAATTAAATAATATTTAAAAAAAAATATAAAATACTTTTCAATTAAGTAACTGCTTAATAAAATAATGATATAAAAACTTTTTATATTTATGTAAATTACGTATGTAAATTATGGGATATTCAAGGTATGTAAATTACAGGATACTCAAGGTATGTAAATTACGAGACTATTTTTAGAATGCTGAGGTGTGTTTATGCTTTGCAAAAATGTTAGTAAAATGCAGAATTAAACAAAAGTGTAAACTATATATAGTTTACACCTTTTCAATTTTTTTTTATATATAACTTAATACTTTTAATTTTGTTTTAATGTTCTTCAAACAATAAAATAAAAATCATGGTTGGTTAAAATAACTTAGCAGCAAAGTTGTATGTTAAGGAAATCAAAACAAAAATGTTGTCGCTGCAGCGCATCGGTTTTTAGTTTTGAAGTATTACCAACTGTTGGTTTGTATTATGAAAATTCTAACTTAAAAAATCTAAGCTCAAAAAACAAAATTTGGAAAGGGAAGATATATTTTTATTACACTTTTTTAAAAATACTATACTATGCAAAATATGTTTAAAAAATACATCATATATAAATATAATGTATTTTTTGATAAATCTCTTTAAACTTTTTCTACGATTATTTTTATAAACAGTTTTGATATCAAAAAACTTTGGGGCAAAAACAAACGTTATGTAACATAACTCATATTTAAAAGTGTAATAAAAAATCTGGTTACTATTGGTTACTATAAACATTAAAAAAACTATTACATTAAAGATTTTATAAATTAAATTTAAAAGTTTTAAAAGTTAAAATATTCGTTTGAAATTTATAAAACCATGACACAAAAAATTAAAAAAATACTGAAATAATAACTTAAATCAATAATTAATTGCAACACTTTAATACAAATGATAAAAACTGGGCTGCTGAAGTCAAAAAAAATTTAATGCTTAGGCGTCTTTTAAAAAATGAATTAGCTCAAAAAATGACGAATTTTATTATCGTAGCTTCATTTTCTGTTTTGTATAAAAATAAAAAGTTCAAAAAATGAAGTGTGTGATCGAACACTATTGCTGACCACGCAAATAATTTTTTTTATCGACAACTTGACCACAAGTTTTTAGATGTTTTGATGATTTAAACATTTTAGAAATGCGCTAAAAAAAGGAACGCTAAGTTAAACTTACTAGGAAAACTAGAAAAAAAAATTTAAACACTACAGAAAAAAAAAAAAAAAAAAAAACAACTCCTTACGAATAAGAAAATATATAAGCTTTAAAATAAAACTAAAAAAACTCAAACTTGAAGCCAAAATTACTTTTTGCTACGTATTTAATTGCGCTTGGAAGTCAGCTTTTTTCTTGTCAAGTAAACCAATTACTCCCACCTCGATTTCTGTTGCAACTTCAAAAAATCTTAATCTTCATCTATGCATATTGACAGAGCTAACCTCTGACACAGTACTAGTTTACCCGTAATCCACTATGTATGTTTGCATTCTGTTTGAATGGCGGGATGTTCAATTGCTTATTTTTTATAATAAAATTTCATTAAAAACACAATTGCTGAATGAAAGTCTTGTCTATAAAATGAATTATAAAATTATTTTAAAAGATTTAAGTTTATCATGAAAAGTGTATAATTTTTAAATAAAAAAAATTAATATATATTTACAAATAAACTTCATTTAGTTTACACAATATATAATTTTAACTTTATATAATTTATTAAAATATGTAATTTACTAATTAAATTTTTTGTGAATAGTAAACTTTACAATAGCTTAAAAAAAAAGATTTAATTTTTTTTAATAAACAACAAAAGTAAAATGTTATTTTGTTTAAAAGCACTTCTCAAATATAAAACCATTAAAAAAGAATTTACAAAGTTAACTTTTTTAGCGTGTATTTGAAATTCATCATTACTAGGACTTACATGGAAACATATGTTAACTTGAATGTTCTCAAAATATTTGATAAACTGCAACAAAATATTATAAGCATGGACAGGAATAGCGTCCGATCACACAACATTCCTAACCAAACCTGTGTACTGAAGCCTTCGCAGCTTAATTTTTCTGTATGACATCACAGTGCTTACCTAAGTACACAATTATCAAACATAACAACTAAAATTATTGATAAAAAATTAGCAGTATATCTAAACTGGCACTATAAAAATAAATATCTAAACTATTATTTAGAATATCATCAGCATTTTAGAGCTCTTTTCCAAATGGTACTTAGTTCTTGCATTAAGCTATTTATGGATTTTATTCAGATATTGATTAATTCTTTGTCCTTCCAAGACCAAATAAATTTTTATCAGGTGATTGAGCTGGCCAGGGCTAAAAATCTACTTTGAAAATTGTTCAAGAGTAAAATTAAATCAAATTTAAAAGAGAACAATTATTTTTTCCCCAACCTGACAGACAAATAACTTGAAGTTTTGACATTCATGTTGAAATTACATCATGTGAGGAGTTTTTAAAGAAAAGCTAAAAAAAAAATCAATATATTAAACATTTTCTTATCAAAATGTTTATATTTTGCACTGCCTTTATTTTGCCCATGTAAACTGACTTACACGGATGTAGAGGCAGGAGCAGGCTATAACCTGTCATTTTCTCGAAACCTTAAAATATATAGCATTAAATCATCCTAAGCACTATACTAGTGTTGTGATATGTGAAAAACTGTTAGCCTTAAAGTAATAATTGAAATGCTTTTATACTAAAAAAAATTATTAGGTTTGAACTATTGAGATTCTTCTAAATTAAAAAATATATTTACTTATTGCTTTATTATTCATTAAGAATTTGTTTTCCTTTTCAGCTTATGGTTTATTTATTTTTAATTTTCTCATAAGTTTAGTTTAATTTTTTCAGTGCATTTTTAAAACAAACAAATTAGAAAAACATGCAAAGTAACATGGTCAAGTTGTCTAAACAAAATATTATATTTGTGATCAGATAAGGCATCTGACT